CCCTCTCATCTCTCCCTCCCTCCCTCCTTTCCCTCCTTCCCTCCCTTCCCTCCCTCCCTCTCTTCCTTCCTTTCTTCTTGTGTTAAATTTTAAAACTTTTCCCATTACAGCTGACAGACGATGTTATATTAGTTCCAGGTGCACAGTGTTGTGATGAGACTTCACATCTTTGAGACTTGGTTTCCTTGTCTGTAAAAAGAAAGATAGTAATACCCCCTGAAGCTATTATTGCGAGGCTTAAAGAAGATGCTATGTATGTGACACACTTGCTATTAAGGAGCTGGCCAGGACATTTTAAATATGTTCTTGTCTCTCCTAAAAACACGTGCCTTGTTCAGTATTGCTGGTGTGCATTCCGAAGTGGGAATTACCCACACCAAACACGAGTGCTTATTTCTGTCCCTCGTTTTGGTGTCTGCCCTCTAAGCAGCCATTTGACTGAGGAAACGTTACGCTGAGCTGCAGGTGGCTCAGGAGGCAGCGTCTAGTGACTGGCCGGCCCCTCCCTTGCTCACCACCAGGCATCAGCTCCCCGTCTCCTGCAGGGATGGGGCGGGGGGGACTTGGGCGAAGGCCTCTCTGGAAGGGGCGTCTGAGCTGAAGGAGGAAGCGGGAGTCACAGGAGCCCTTAGGGCGGGGGCTCCAGAGAAGACGTTGGGGTGGAGCGGGCGGCACAGGGAGGAGCTCCGGGAGGGCCAAGGGACAGGGCTGACCCCCCGTGTGGTGCTGCGGGGGTGGGGGGGTGTCACAGGGCTGCACGTGGAAACGTGGGCACTGCGGGGGAGAGCCTGGAGGGGGCCCTGCTCGGGGTGCAGACAGGAGGCGGGCCTGCCCCCTGGGCGCCGTCTCAGGCGGCACACTTCCGAGTCCCGTTATTTCACAGGGACTTGGGGGTCCTCTCTCAGCGCTGTGTGTGGTGTTAGGCTAGCCATTGGCAGAGGATTAATCATTTCCATTCTTTTCTCTCCGCTTTGATGGGAATTTTTTCTTTTCAAATGGAGGCTCTTTTGAATAAGGGCTCATCTAAGGCAGTTGATTTCAGACCTTTACGTCATGTTTGTATTGAACATCTTTAAAATGGCCTGCCGGTAACGGGCGTTTCTGTTAAATGTCTTCAAAATAGAGGTATTCAGAATCAGAGCTGTTTCCTTAATGTACATCTTTCCGAGGGGAATTATCTTTGCTTTGTGGGCTCTTCCTGTGAGTTGTTATCGCCGTTTCTATCAGTTCAGAGATCCTTGTTCACATGGAAATACACCGCGACGCTCAACTAATTAGTTATACCCACTCAATCCCGATTCTCAATAGGCTTGTAGCTTCGATAATTATCATTTGTTCAATAACCACCAGGATGAAAAATCCTGGCAGGATGGGAAGTTAATTATTACCATTTAAAGGAATAAGAACCATCTGAGGATTAGATGCGACCCTTGGATCCTCTCCTGCTGCGTCACACGGTACAGTGTTGGCGTTTGTACCCACGACCTGCACCGCACGTCAACCTTCCCTCCACCTGTTTATTCTGCCTTTTCAATACTTCCTGGGGAGTCCTCTCCGCCACCCTGCTGTCACTATCTTTTAAAAAAACATATTTTTAATGATTTTGAGAGAGAGAGTAAGTGAGAGGGGGAGAGAGAGAACCATTGATCAGCTGCCTCCTGCACCTGCCTGACTGGGGATGGAGCCCGCAACCTGGGCACGTGCCCTGACCAGGAGTCAAACTGTTGACCTCTCGGTACCTGGGACAGCGCTCAAGTGCTGAGCCACGCCTCAGGCCAGGCTGCTCTCCCTCTTAACTCGAGGCCCGAGGGTGCCTGCTGTCACCCACAGAGGACCCCGTGCCTCGGCTGACCTCTTTCCGGCCGCCCTTCACTTTCTGAAGGTTGGGTCACGTGACACCTTGCCCTCCACCTCCCCAGCGCCTCTCCATCATCTAAAGGGCAGAGGGCAGACCTGGGCCGGCCTCCCCCGCACGTGCTCTGTGCGGTGCTGCTGCCTGCGAGCCGCTCCCAGATGCCACCCTGTGCCCTGGCTCCTGCACCCTGATCCCGGGGCCTCTGTGTTCAAGGCCTCTCTCTGAGCCGGTTGCACGCCCCCATCTTCTGTCCTGCTCCAGCGTCTCTCACGCCACATATTTCCCCAGGAGCCCGTCCCTGCAGCCCCGCTTCCACTGAATCGCTGCACTGGCTCCCCGCGCTTCCTGCGCTCCGGTTAGCTCCCACGCCGCATCGCTGTTAGATACGCACAGATCCGTTCCCTTCTGGGCGACGAGCCTCTTCAGGTCCGAGACGGACTGGGTGGTAGCTCTGAACCAGGAGCCCCAGATACGGGGCCTGGTGCTGGGGACTTCAGGTTGAATGAATTAATGAGTCACGCCAGGAAGAATCAGTGCAGTCTGGGTACCGAGGGAACTTTCCAGAACT